GGAAAGTTGCGTGGATTTGTTTAACCTACCTCCTCCCCACACAGGTAGGATCCCACCAGCACATCACAGAAGAAAGCTTCTCTCTCTTCTGGATGCTGGAGCCCCGAATAGGTATCGGAGAGGGGGAGAGCTGAGGTCCCAACCCGAGAAAGCCACCCCCACCCCAGTGTCAGCAGACCCGGTTATAGACTAGCCGCGCCCATCTTTCCCCAGAAATTGTGGTGGTGGGCACTGGAGACCGGACTGAGCGGCTGCCATCCCAGGTGCTGCGAGCCATGAGGCAACGGGGCATCGCTGTGGAAGTGCAGGACACGGTCAGTGCCAGGACTTGGGACCGCTGAGGGGTCAGGCCTGGTCCTAGCCCAGCTGATGCTAGCTCTCTTTGCAGCCCAATGCCTGTGCCACTTTCAACTTCCTGTGTCATGAAGGCCGAGTGACAGGAGCTGCTCTCATCCCCCCACCGGGAGGGACCGTGCTCACATCTCCAGTCCAAGCTGCAGAATGAACCACCAGGAACCGACCTGACCTGTCCAGGAGGGCTCTGGCACCTTTGCAGAGAGTGGGGGTCCCCAAGGCATTCACAAGGCCCTCCCCTGTGGCACTGTAATGCTTTTGCTTGCCAGCAAATTAATAATTTAATCCACTTATCTCTTTTGTACTAGGTGTGTTGCTGGCTAGGGGCTGCTGGCTCAGCGGGGTCTTGGTGGGAGTTGCGAAGAAACCAAGGGGTCACCTTTTCACCTAGACTGCGGCCCCTCAGAGGCCAGGAGGTGGTATATACGCCTGTTCCAAATTGCAGATCTATCTCCTTGCTCACAGGCAGATTTGAAGTCATCTCAGTTCTTTCTCCTCAAGGTCCTTTTGGGCTGTTCCCTGACCTCTCTTAAGCAGCCACTGTCAGAATCTGATATTGAACACGTGGGAGCCAGAGCAGTTCAGAGCTGGCTTGTGAACCGGCTTGTGAACTGCTTGGGGAGGCACTTTGGAACCTAGTACTACCTGCTTCCAGGTCCACAGCACACCTTTACCTCAGGGCCCGAGGCTTTCCCTGAAAATGAGGGTGTTGTGTTGTGTGCATCTGTGATGTGGCAGCTGCAAAGGCCCACGTGCCTAATGACTTCAAAAACCAAGCATCGCTTTTTTCAAACTTTTATTGAAAAACCAAGGAGATACACTGTATTTTTCAGAAAAGCCGCTTCTCATACCTGTAAGCAGAAGGACCAGCTGTGAGATAAGGGCAGCAGGAAGGAGGCATAGCAGAGACCTCCACCCCAAGCCCAGGGTGGAAAAGGGTTGGTCACTTACGAATGGAGGCTGTGGACGCCACCTTCCACTTGTGCCGAGGATGTTCTTTTCTCAAACTTGAGCTCCCCAGAATACATCATGGCTCTGAAAAGGGGCAGATGTACATGGGTAGCTGGCCCTGGACCAGCCCCTCAACCCATGTCCAAACTCCCTAGGCTTACCGCACTTGGGTCAAACTCTTGGCACCAATATCTTGGCAGGAGTGCTGGATGCCAGCGATCAAGTAGGGGACAAATTTATGGATGGACCCTTTGTCTTGCACAGCCCCAGACACCCCCTGGGCCACCTTGATTTTGTCAGCTTCACTGCAGGGAAAGGCAATAGACATGGACAAGGTCAAAGCCAAGATGAGGCTGTTTGTGCAGAGTTGGTATAAAGTAACCGATCACCTGTCCCACCTGAAATATCGGTTCTGGCTGCTGAGATGCTTGTCCATGGCGTCAAGAGAGCCCATACCACGGTATTTCTTTAGCCGAATCCCATCAGAGAAGAAGTACTCGCCAGGGGCCTCGGTGGTGGCAGCCAGAAGGGAGCCCATCATGACTATGGACAGATGGATTGCTGGGGGTAGACCCTGAGTGGCATTGGGGAGGGAGTCCCACCGGGCTCCCTAGGTGCTGGGCCTCACCTGTGGAGGCCCCAAGGGCCAAGGCTTTGGCGATATGGCCCACATTTTGGATTCCTCCATCAGCAATGACAGGAACACCAAAGCGCCGTGCATATTCTGACACCTTGTACACTGCTGTTGCTTGGGGCCGCCCACAGGCTAGCACTGTTAAGAGATGGAGGAACAGATGGGTGGGTGGAGTTAGTGGGGACAGGCAAAGGGCACTGTGGCCACAACTCTGCACCCAGAGCTCTCAGCTATACCTGTACCAGGACTGCAGCCTGGCTGAGGACAAGTCATTTCTGAAACAGCTACTGCCCCCCTGCTTTGAACAGTACAAAGAGCTGTGATGGCCACCACTCACCCTTGCGTGTGCACGTGCACGTGTGCATGGCCCAGGGCAGCCTCAGGCACATGCAGTCAGCAGCTGGGAAAACCCCGCCCAACTTGTATCAGGTGGGGTAGGGGTCACCGTGCAGTTAGTACCCAGAGGACCACCCCTTTCTACATGGTGGGCAGCTCAGGCAAGATCCGGGCAGTGGTTGTGTGGAAGGAAGTGTTTCAGAGTTGGTCCCTGAGGGGCACCTATTGCAGGAGATGTGGGCAGAGCAGGGCCTACCTGGGGAAGGACATCCTGCCCTGTAAACATCCCGGGAAGAGGAGGGGGAGCTATGTTCTCGAGCAGCCCCCAAAACAATGGTCTGTCATTCAGTCTGCCCTGCCCACCCAACAGCACCACAAACCCCGGGAGCTACAGCTACAGTCAACCAAGCAGCCGGGCAGTGGGCAGCTGGGCCGGGCTAGTGGGCCGGGCCGGACTTACTATAGCAGCCCGTGACAGTAGAAGGGCATTTGGGGCTGTGGGACTTTATGTCTGGAGGGATCTTGGGAGCCGCTAAATAAAACAAACAGACCAGAGTTTAGAGAGGGCGCAGAGCAGGAGCAAGGAGGCCAGGCTAGGCAGGGGGAGTGGCAAGTGAGGAATGACGAGAGCTCGTCTTGCTTCCGGCATGTCACCCATCCAAGGGGCCTCTTTGGCCCTGTGGCTGCCCCTATTGGAGGACTCATTTAGTTCCCAAGAGAGCGCCTGGCTCCAGGGCATGTGGATCTAAGGGCCCTACCAAGGCATCTTCTTACCTTCTTGGGTGATGCAGATGGAGCCACTGCCCATGCCCACCCGCAGGGCATCTACACCAGCATCAATAAGATTCTTGGCCTGAGCCGCTGTGACCACTGCAATGAAGAGCAGGGAAAGGCTCAGGTAAAGGTCTAGGTGCGAGCCTAGCTTCCCTAGCCTCGCCGATCTTCCGTCTATGCCCATGTTTCCTCACCATTGCCCCCAATGACCTGGAGATTGGGGTATTTCTCTTTGATGTACTTGATCATATTGATCTGGAAGATGGAGTTTCCTTGAGAAGAATCCTAGGACAGGAAGGAAGTCCCGGTGAGACTGGTATGACAGTTGCCCCTTCCGCCCCACCCTGCCTGTGCAGCAGCTCACCAAAACGACTGCGTCCACACCAGCCTGGGCTAGCAAGTCCAGCCGATACTTGTCATCTTCATGCGTGCCGATGGCTGCTCCACACAGCAGCTGCTTCTTGGTGTCTTTGGAGGCCAGTGGGTAATCCCGGTTCTTCTTCAGGTCTGTCCGAGCAATAATGGCCACCAGCTCGTCGTCTTCATTCACGATGGGCAACTTTCCTGGAGGCAGAGAAGAATATGAATCAGTCCCCAATCTTTGGTTACAGAGCCCTTCCTACCCCTAGGACTCACCTTTCTTGCTGCGCTGCAGAATTTCGTTTGCTTCCTTCAGCGTGATGCCTGCTGGGGCTACCACCAAGTCATCTCTCTTTGTCATGATCTAGGAGGGAGGGGAGCTGTGAGGAAGGGCCAGAGACTAGAGCTCCCAAAAGGCCCTGCCCTTAATGCAGCGGTGAGGTTCTAAAGAACATGTTCACACACCTACACCTAAACCACCCTCCTCAAGTGAACCCAACAAGTCCCTGCAGCAATCCAGTGGCAAATGTGAGAACTGAGTAGAAAGGACAATATGGTATTTGGAGCAGCCTGCTACACTGTAGAGAAAGAAGGGCCAAACCAGACCGATAAGAGATTTAGAAGATTAGGCCGAAGTTGGTCCTTAAACACTGCCTTCACCCTGGGGGTGGCAAAGCGTACATGCTGGAAACATTTGAGTAGACTGAAAGCCTCTGGTGGGGCGGGGCTGCAGGAACCCCATGAAGTGATCAGAAACTTGGCTAGGCACTCATCTTTCCTGGACAGCAGAGGCCCTCAGAAATGCCATTCAGGCAACAGAAGCCAAGTTGCCAGAGCTTGGCTGGGCTCTGCCAGTGCACCCACCTCTTCCAAAAACCGGTCGTGCTCCTCCTCCTTGAGAAAATCAATGTCCCTCGAGGAGATGATGCCCACCAGGCGGCTCCCCATCCGGCCCGTGTCGGTGATGGGGATACCACAGAAGCCATGCCGGGCCTTGGCTTCAAACACGTCCCGTACTCTATCCTTGGGGCTGAGGACTACAGGGTCTGTAATGAATCCCTGCTCGTATTTCTGGAAGGGATGGTGAAAAAGGGCATTTCTGAACTGCTTTCATCAGGCTCTTGGTCTGAAGCCTGAGGTCTGTGCCAACTCCCCCTTTGGCAGTGCCATAGGACCAAATCACACCAACACCTCAAACCCTGGGACAGGAGACGTGGTGGGCTGTAGGCACTGTCCACCTGGTCCTCTTCTGTTGCCTTAAGACCCAGGGTCTCAGGCTTTTATGCTCAGGAATTCAACTCCACAGTGGAGATAAAAGGATCCTAAATGGGGAACAAAATCCCCCACTCCCACCCTGCTCCACCTCAGTGCAATTCCCAGGGACTCCTGACCACGATCCTTTCCCTTCTGACCTTCACTTTTCGAACTTCGTTGGCCTGGAATTCAGGTGTACAGTTGTGGTGAATGAAGCCAATACCACCTGTAAGCTGCAGAATAAACAGAAGACAAGGTAAAAGTGTCAAGAATAAGAAATGAATGACTATGCTTTTGGGAAAGAGAGATCGGGCCCCTGTTTCTGCCCTTACTCCCCATGGTGCTCACCGCCATAGCTATGGCCATTCCAGCCTCTGTGACTGTGTCCATAGGTGAGGAAACCAGTGGGGTCTTCAGAGTGATCTTTTTGGTCAGCGCAGAGGTCAGGTCCTGAGGATAAAAGACCAGCGAATGTGAGAAAGCACTTCGTATACCTCACGATGATGCCAGGTCCCCCACAAAACAGGTGCCCTGTACGACCTGCATGCTAGTAAGACCATTCCATAGAAGCCACCCACAAGCCCAATTTGGCAAAGTAGCCAAAGACGAGGGTTTAACAGCACCTTACACAATCTTCATGCTATGGACCCAATTCCTAGCCATACTCACCACCTGGTCTGCAGTGAAGTCGATGTACCCAGGGAGAATGAGAAAGTCACTACGGAGGAGAGCGAATTGAGAGTAAGGCTCAAGCTTAGTGCAACCCGAGACTCCATCCCCATAGATCATCTAATAAGGCATCTGGGCAGAGATGGCACTGACCTAAGCCCATGTGTCACAGGCAAGGCAGAGCACAAGGTGGAGATGGTGACAGAGAACCTTTTCTGCCACCTAGCTGTCATCAGCGTCCCTGGAACCCTGACAACTCCATGTGCCCAGAGAATGGAGTTTCTGGCCTGAAATCCCAACCACGGTAAAGATGCC